GTACGATAACCCTCTTCCAAATTACAATACTACACAGAAGGAATTAGAACACCCTTATATCCAAGATTATATGCAAATTATGTAAGGATTCAGAAGGAAGTGTAAGCACCCTAGAGAACTTCTGCCACAACTGGTACGACCCACCCTCAGTTAAGTGTAGAATCCTACATCGTTCTCCATAGCTTTAAAGAAGAACATATAAATGAAATAATGAATTCGGTGAATAATAATTTATTCAGCATGGCCGTGCTTGAGAGAAGGATAAATTTGCAACAGGATGCAAAAAAGGAGATGCACAGCTTGAAGGACTATTTATCATATTATTTGGGAAGATTAGCAAGTCTGTATAGCGTGGAGGCACACATTTAGGAGGGGCCAATGGCAGACACCAATGATACTATTCAAACAGCAATGGGAATTATGTAGGAGTATCACAAGAGGCTGTTGTTCTACTAGGCCATAAAGGATAATTTGCGCGAGTACGATCATGACTCTTTTATAAATGTGCATAGGAAAGCGTTTACCTTATTCAAAAATGAGCTAGTTATTATGGAGGAGTCTCAGTTAAATGGATGTGTACTCGAATCAAGCAAACTCATGGTGGAAGCCCACAGATGAGGGTTCCGAGAAATACGCTGAGCGGTAGGTACACATGTATATGCATATATAAGATGCTAACAATAGCAACAATAAATATTCTTGTACCTATATGCTTATATATAGAATTATCTAATAAAGTCTTGTTTATTTGAAACAGGAGCCAAGTGGATTATACAGCAACGTTTCAGCAATGATCGGTGCCAAAGTGGCATCGTGATTGTATTTTTTACCATGAAACGGTATTTAGCCATTGAAAGACAAATATATGTGCTGTGTGTATTTTGAAGGAGGCAGTGAATTAAATTTATATGTAAAGTTGGTCAACTTTGGTTTATTTAAATCCTGATATGAGACTCATCATCGGATGTTCTAAACTCTGTTAATGTTTTTTTCTTTCCTCTGAACCATTTATACGTACATGATACGCATAGCGTGCTACGAATAGAATCTTACCATTATCTCCTGAATTTGTTGAGGGGGGATTTTGTATTTTACTCCTTAATTCGAGTAAAGATTTAAAAAATTCATTTCTTTACATGGTCATCTGTTTCATTGTGCTTATAAGATAGGTGATTAGGATGGAAGTAATGTTTTGGGGCTGTGTCATACCAATGAAGATTCTTTCAATTTTAAAATAGAAGTAGGAGTACAAGACCTCGAATCAATATACACATATAAATTAGCCAAACTACAATGACATCAGATGTCAATAATGATACTACGCTTCCTCCTTTCTAGTTAAATTTAGCATAATGTTTATATAATATGTTTTCAACTCGTACGAATTGCATTGATGGTTTCATTATTCATATATAATTTATTGTAAATGGCCACAATGAGAGACTTTTACATGGAAAGAGTTCCAGAAGAGATTGCTAAGAAGAGCCAACCAAGTAATGAAGGAAAGATAATTGTAGTTTGGGTT